AATAATTATTTCAAGTTGTTTATGCAGACAAGCGCATTTCTGTTTGCCTTCAACATTCAGTAGTTTGTTGTAAATTGGTTGGAGTGAAATTAGGAAATCTCTTCAATGATCATTTCAAATATACAACGTATTAAATACTTTAAACATCATTCACAAAACAACATTAGGGCATTAAAGTAAAGCTCCCTAATCAATAGAACCGTTAACTTTCCTTCTTTCCAAGGAGTCATTTGTCAATACAAAAAAATATGTGAAAGAAATGGGTCAGTGAATGAGACGTTAAGACAATTTGTTGAAGAATAATGAATCAAACTGAGGGAAACAAAAAAAAGTGAGAATAAAGATTAGCGATAAGTGGATTAATGCAAGTAAAAGTAAGGTGCATTTTATTAACAAACTTATAAGGCAAATTTTGCAGAATAAACAAACTCTCAACAGCGAGTCCATGAAGGAAGAGCTGCGTCTGGACACCAGTTTCAGATCCACGTCCACTAGCTCAAGAGGCAGCAGCGGGCTGCCAACCAGGGAGAACCCCAAAAACTGAAGCACCCCTTCAGGTCTTTTCTCCTCATTTCCTCCCTTATTTGACGTTATATGTGAAAACAAATCAGGTCAATGAAAAACAGTGAAAGGCCACGTTGGGAAGGAGTTTGTGATAAGACGACAGAGGTGTTCGTGTGTCTAGAAGAAGAAAAGGGAAATACAGGTCCTGAAAAGAGCTAGACTGGGAAGATAATAACTTCGTTAGAAATGATGGAGAAAGACGCTTAGTCCTCAACACGGTGGTGTTGTTTGTGTGGCGTGTGATGACTTCTAGGAACCTCTTGCTGTGGACCACCTGGGTTAGATATGGGTGTAAATGATTTCTGGAATCGTGTTCTAAGTGGATATCATATCACAAAAAGCCAATGGTTCTCCAATGACTTATCACATATGTGGCATCTCTACTCATTATCGGGGGAGAAACTCTGATTTAACTAAAGTGGAATATGAAACATGCCTTTTTCATTCTACAGGAGCCCATTCCTCCTTACTAGTTAGGTTTTCCTAATTACCAACACTTGTTTTTCTGAAACCTATGCAATCAATCCTTTGTCAGTTCCTTACTACTATTATTTGAATTTAAGAAAGTTCCAATGCAAAGACAATTTAGGTTACAATTATATTTGGAGGTGAGAGTACTGAAAATCTATGAGTACTTCTGAAAACCCGGCAAATGGTTGGCTCTCAGTTGCTTTCACTACTTTATTTGATGCCTAGTCAACTCAACTGGGTGCCCAAAACTCCCTTTCTATTTATTCTCAACTTCTATTATACAAACTAGTTTAATAAATTAGTTAGCCTCTATTGTTCTAAGATCTTGGATTTTTTCACATCACAACTCTCCAGTTTCCAGTGTGTTATTTCCTGTTATGAAAGGATTCAAAGTGGTTTGTTTTTTTATTCTTGTTTTTTCAAGAGAAGGAGGCTCGCCAGTGGTACTTGGGGATATTTCGCAATGCTAGTTCCTTCCTGTATAAACACACACACACACACACACACACACACACTCTCTCTCTCTCTCTCTCTCTCTCTCAAACACACACTGGCCCTGGGTAAGAAGTTGCCAAATTTCTCAGGTCTTCAAACCGCCCTTTCTGGCTCTTTTCTCCTCCTTGTGGAAGCACATCCTGCCCTTGAATTGTCCCACATCCTGGATTCTCCTCTCTTCCTTACAAACTGCGTGGCACGGGTCACAACCCTCGTGCTCCTGGGTGACAGTGGTCCACTTCTGCAAGAATGCACGCACTGGGTAGCAAAGCAAAGGGAAGGAGCAGGCTGGCCCCTCAGCTGGCAGCCTCAATCTTTCTGGGACACCAGGGCTTGTCCTTCCTACAAGTTACATCCTGTCTGTAGACAGACTGGCCCAACAAGGTTGTATCTGTTGCAGTGAAACTTGCCCCAGAGGGTGTGTGTTGGAGCAGAGGGGTGTGGGGAAGGGGAGAGGTGAAATAGGAAGTGGATTCTCAACAAAGAGTTAGAATCCAGCCCATCAAAATCCTGCATATACTCAGTCAAGGAAACCCTAGTGAGTTTTTTCCCGATATTTTGTTCTAGAAGAGAGCAATATTAGCATATTTTAGGAAAGAAAACCTTGAATTTAGTAAAATGTCACTAAGTGAGAGGTACCTGCTTATGATATATGATTAAATGTTATGTTATTGACAAAAACGTTATTTCGAAGTTATCTCATACACTTAGGTTTAATGAAGTCTTAAATACATAGAAGTATTACAGGCACATATTAAAGAAATACGAAGTAGGGAGGCTAGGTGGAGTTGAAAAACAGGCATTCAAATAGTTCAGATTGCTCATTCCTTGTATACGTCTGGTTTTATGTGTGAGAATGTTCGTCACCCTATTCAGAATACTGGGAATTTTTGTCATTTATTTATTTTTTTAAATTGAAGTATAGTTGATTTACAATGTTGTGTTAGTTTCAGGTGTACAGCAAAGTGATTCAGTTATATACTTATATATATATTTTTTTCTTTTTCAGATTCTTTTCCCTTATAGGTTATTACAAAATATTAAGTAGAGTGCTATACAGTAGGACCTTGTAGAATACAGTGACTTTTTTTTTTTTTTTTTTTTTTTTGCGGTACACGGGCCTCTCACTGTTGTGGCCTCTTCTGTTGCGGAGCACAGGCTCCGGACGCGCAGGCTCAGCGGCCATGGCTCATGGGCCCAGCCGCTCCACGGCATGTGGGATCCTCCTGGACTGGGACACGAACCCATGTCCCCTGCATCGGCAGGCAGACTCTCAACCACTGTGCCACCAGGGAAGCCCAATACAGTGACTTTTAATAGTACTTGTGGAATCATTTTTTTTCCTAGCCTGTGGAATAATTTATTGTGGAACAGCTGAAAAGGTGCTCTAATTTACTAACACTTCAAAGCATTGTTTATTTTCTCAGGGAAAGAGCTAGAAAGATTTGTTCCAAATTTAAAATGTCACCCTGGTAGTTTAATATTCAGAAATGAGTAAGTACATGGAGTTACCAGTGATATTTTCAAATTCATATTCTGGCTTTATGTACATGACTGGGTTTTTGTTTGTTTGTTTTCTTGTTGTTTGGCAAAACCATAGCAAGTATACCAAAGTGAGCTAACAGTCTTCATTCCAAAATAATTTCTGAACCATATGGCAAAATTTTGATACAGATGACTCAATTTGCAGTCATGTTTCATTATTATTAACAGTGAAACCAATGAGAGAGCTAGGCTTTAGACACAAATTAATACCTTATAAATATGAACTTCCATCAGACAATATAGATATCATCTTAAAGTACTTACTCTTCAAAAAATAAAATAGGGCTTCCCTGGTGGCGCAGTGGTTGAGAGTCCGCCTGTCGATGCAGGGGACGCGGGCTCGTGCCCCGGTCCGGGAAGATCCCACATGCCGCAGAGCGGCTGGGCCCGTGAGCCATGGCCGCTGAGCCTGCGCGTCCGGAGCCTGTGTTCCGCAACGGGAGAGGCCGCAGCGGTGAGAGGCCCGCATACCAAAATAAAATAAAATAAAATAAAATAAAATAAAATAAAATAAAATAAAAAAAGATCAGAGATTAAGGGAAGAAACAGATTGAGTGATACTATATGCCAGCCAGACACTGGGCTGGATGCTTCACATACCTTAGGTTATTTAACAGTCTAGTTACATAGGAAATTTTTTAAGTTGTGGAAGTTATCTTTTTCTAAGCCAGCATAACACTTTTTAAAATTTTTATTTTATTGAAGTACACTTGATTTACAATGTTGTGTTAATTTGTGCTGTACAGCACAGTGATTCAGTTATACATATATATATTCTTTTTCATATTCTTTTCCATTATGGTTTATCACAGGATATTGAATACAGTTCCCTGTGCTATACAGTAGGACATGCTGTTTATCCATTCTATATATACTAGTTTGCATCTGCTGTTACCAAACTCCCAATCCATCCCTCCCCTGCCCTTGGCAACCACAGTCTGTTCTCTATGTTTGAGTCTGTTTTTCTTTCGTAGATAAGTTCATTTATGTCACATTTTACTTTATTTTTTTAATTTAATTATTTTTATTTTATTTATTTTTGGCTGTGTTGGGTCTTCATTGCTGCATGCAGGCTTTCTCTAGTTGCAGTGAGTAGGGGCTACTCTTAGTTGCGGTGTGCAAGTTTCTCATTGCAGTGGCTTCTCTTGTTGCAGAGCACAGGCTCTAGGCATGCGGGCTTCAGTAGTTGTGGCTCATGGGTTCAGTAGTTGTGGCTCGCAGGCTCTCGAGCACAGGCTCAGTGGTTGTGGCACACGGGCTTAGTTGCTCTGCGGCGTGTGGGATCTTCCCGGACCAGGGCTGAAACCCGTGTCCCCTGCATAGGCAGGATGATCCTTAACCACTGCACCACCAGGGAAACCCCTGTGTCATATTTTAGATTCCACATATAAGTGATATCATATGATATTTGTTTTTCTCTGTCTAGCTCACTTCACTTAGTATGATCATCTCTAAGTCCATCCATGCTGCTGCAAATGGCATTATTTCATTCTTTTTTATGGCTCAGTAATATTCCATTGTGTATATACCCCACATCTTCTTTATCCATTTATCTGTCAATGGACACTTAGGTTGCTTCCATGTCTTGGCTATTATAAAAGTGCTGCTATGAACACTGGGGTGCATGTATCATTTTGAATTAGAGTTTTGTCTGGATATATGCCCAGGAGTGGGATTGCTGGATCATATGCAAGTCAGCATAACTCTTGACTACTCATACATTCATAATGCAGAGATCATTTGCTCTGCCCTATGTTTCTGTTGCACAAGATTTTCTCTTTTTTAAGTCCTATTTCTTTTTTCCGGTACGCGGGCCTCTCACTGTTGTGGCCTCTCCTCTTGCGGAGCACAGGCTCCGGACGCGCAGGCTCAGCGGCCATGGCTCATGGGCCCAGCCGCTCTGCGGCATGTGGGATCCTCCCGGACCAGGGCACGAACCCGTGTCCCCTGCATCGGCAGGCAGACTCTCAACCACTGTGTCACCAGGGAAGCCCTAAGTCCTATTTCTTGAATAACCAGCTGCCTCAGGCTTGGTGTGGAGCAGTCTCTGAAGGACTGGGCTAGTACGTCGACTCACTTTTCAAAATATTTCCAGTACAGGTCACTCCTTCAGCGTCCCAGGTGCCTAATGAGTCGTGCTCCTCTCACAGCCAACCAGACAGGATATCAAAGTCTCCTTTATCTCTCTGGATGGATACAGAGCCATTAAGCTTAAACATGCCCTTTGCCAACAGACTTGAGTGTGGGGTTTAGTTATTAACTTGGTGAGCTTCCACCCAGCTAACTATTCTAGGAAATAATTTGGTGAGTCAGGTGTTTTTATATTCATATTTCAGCAAACCAGTAGTCTTTCCTGAGCACTGTGGCTGCAGGCTGAATGTCCCAGAAAGCTGTCCATCTCGACACAAGCTCTGTGGCTAACAGACAGAAAGGTGCGTTGTCAACAGAATTAGTTTTGTTTTCTTTTAAACAACATTGCCTTCTTTGTGATAAAAGGTCAGTAAGCATTTGTTCATCTCAGCTTTAATGAGGCTGTGAGCTGTTACCATAAAGCACGGAGCAGCATCTTAACTTAGGGAGTGTGGAAGTGGGGATGGGAAGTGAGAGTCTATGATTCAGTGGGATGGAAACCTGAGAAGTTCCTCCTCTGCCTGGAAGAAAGGCCGCACTGGGAGCATCTGCCTTTCTTCCCACTCCGAGCAAAGACTAGACTCCCTGGTACGTTTTCCTTATGGCAGCATATGGTGTGACAGTGCCAAGTGAGACAGCTCCAGGGACACCTCTTCCTTCAGCCAGACACAACACCTGATCCAGAGGAAGAGCTGTAGGGAGGAAGGAGGAAAGGGTGTGAGGGGGCACAGCAGACTGGGCACCTTCCCTTTGTCATCAGAGCAAATGCAATCAGTGCTCACCTGCTCGGGACCTGAGGATGCTCGTAATTCGTACAACACCATAAACAGGACTTAACTTCCTAAATGTAAAGACATAAGGGAAGTTTAATCGTCTGTATGAAAAAGTTCTCCTGAAATAAAATGAGTTGATTTTGTATTCAATACTTCCTGGGCAGTAGGTGCTGAACCAAGCACCATGCCTACTTTTGCTACCAACAAAGCTCACGACAAGTCCAGAAAGTTGCCATTGTTTCACCATTTTACAGATGAAAAACTTGGGACGGTAACTTGCCCAGAGTTCCATAGCTGAGCCAACATTTAAAGCAAAGTTTTGTTTGTTTCTAAGACCCAGAACTATTGACAAGGATATTATATTGCCTGTATAATAACTGATTAAATAAAATTAACATGACTAGCATGTATCCTGCATATCTAAGCTTACAATGAATTTGTATTATATATATAATAACTTATTTTGATATAAGAATTTTACCATTTAAAAAATCACAAAATGATGTTTCAAAGTAAACGTTCTACGACAATGAGAAACAACACTGACAAAACATGGGTAAAATTCATAATATAGGCAGCATCAAGATTCAGTTCAAACAAAAGCTTTACAGACAAGCAAAAGCTAAAAGAGTCCAGCACCACCAAAGCAGCTCTACAACAAGTGTTAAAGGAACTTCTCTAGGTGAAAAAGAAAAGGCTACAACTGGAAACAAGGAAATTACAAAGTGAAAAAGCTCACGGGTAAAGGCAAACATAGAGTAAAGGTAGGAAATCATCCACACACAAAGCTAGTAGAGAAGTGAAAAGACATAAACAGTAAAGTCATCTGTATCCACCATAAGCAGTTAAGGGATACACAAAACAGTGAGATGTACAATATGATATCAAAAACAGTAATTGTGAGGGAAGGAGAGTACAAATGCAGGGTTTTTTAAAATGCATTTGAAATTAAGAGATGCAACTTAAAACAATCACGTATACATATGGACGGCAATACAAAAACCTCATGGTAACCACAAACCAAACCTCTGAAAGTCACAAAGGAAAAAAAAAAGGGTTCAGATTTGACAAAGATGGGTTGTGAAGTCTCAGGCATTCTTTGTACTTCTCTCTCTATTTTTATATAAGTGTGAAATATTTTACGTGGAAATATATTTATAAAAGACAGATCACTACCCGTCTGGCAGAACTTCTGGCCATATTTTCACCTTGATGATGCCCTGGGTGACCATGTGCCTGGGCTCACAGGCATTACCAAAAATAATAAAAAGAAAAGCTCTGAGCTAAAAGCCTATCTTAAGTAAATTTTTCTGGGAAAATATGAAAAGACTCTATGGCCAGATTATTTTAGCGATAAATTCTTCTAAAATCCCATGTGATAGAATATACTTTTTTTAAAAAGGCTTCTAAATGTAGTTTACAAATTTAGTAGAAACCTGATACCCATAAATGACAAATGCAAAGGAAAGGAGGGAAGGGCACAGAGGAAGAAGGGAGACGGTAAGAGAGAGAAAAGAGGAGAAAAAATTCAACACAATATCCTTTATCAATACAGATGGAAAAAACATTAAATAAAATTCTGCCAAATGAAACTCAAAAATATATTAAAAGAAAAATCAAGCCCTACCAAGGAAATTTTACTCTCATGGAGTGGAAGGAAAGTTGAACATAGGTGGCTAGACATACAACACATGGCATCTATAGGTCAAAGGAGAAAACTTAAATAGATATCAAAAGGGTACCTAATAAATCTAACACCAAGTCTTGATTTTTTAAACACCCACAGCAAACTAAGAGTAGTAGATGGATATTTCTCAAATTTGATAAAAAATATTTTCTTTGTATTAGTTAAGGTAGAACTATTGGCTGGAACAGATAAACCCTGAAGTCACTGCAGTTTAATAAAATATGTTTATTCCTTATTCCTAGGAGGTCCAGCCAGTGGCAGTGTCAAGGAGGTGAGGAGAGTGTGGCCTAAGGAGGGTGACGTGTGATGTACTGTCCATGTGGTCACTAAGGGCCTCTGTCACCTTTAGTACGTGACCTCTAAGGCTACCCTGAGAACTGACATCTAACCAGCAGACAGGGAGAGGGAGAAAATCACACATGGGAAACTTTTGATATGGGTTGGATCAGGAAGTAGTACCCATCACTTCCACTAATATCCTGCTAATAGAACTTAGTCACATGGTTGCTTCTACTATGGAAATGGTGCCTCACCTGAGTCTATCCTCCTGGGCATCACATAGTCTTCCACTGCTCTTCCCACACAGACTATTTACCCATTCACAAGAGAAACAGTCCAAAATCCCATTCAGTCACTGTATCCAACTCAGGATCAAGGATCTCCAAGTGATGGTCTTCTCCGTCTGGTAAGGATGTTGCCTAAGAGTCCAGACACCTATGAACAAAAATGATAAATTATCTTCCTGTCTTCCTCCCCTAAATACACACATACACACACACACACACACACATCACTACATAAAACAGGGGTCCTGCTTCTTATATACAACTAATTTTGTCTTTCATTCTCATCCTATTGTTTTGGTTCTTTCACCATTATAAAGGAATCTTCCTGCTGAGAAGAACAAAGAACAAACAAACGCAGAGCTCATGTCTAAACAACAACTGGATCTTTACTGGGTGACAAGTGGTAATTCTTATCTCTGGAAAAGCCGCCTAAAGCAGCATTACTTAAACACTCCCCCTGACTCTATTTGCCCCAGGCATGCTTTTGCTCCTTCTGCCAGTATTATTTCCACCCCTGATTCAGATTTTAGAAGTCTTGCTGAGAAATCTGCGCTTGACCCTAGAGAGCTACCAAAGAATTTTAATCGCAAGCTTGATGGCAATGAAATTTGCATTTAGAAAAGTCACTGGGGGATGTGGAGCATGGCTTGAAGGGGCATCAACTGAAAGCTGCAGACATTCAGAGTAAACTGAAAAAAAGAAAAAGAAAAAGAGATAGAAGAAGGAAAAGAAGAAGGGCCAGTTGGGGGCCTTGTGATTATCAGTGAAATAAATACAGTTTTAGACAAATGACTCAAGGGACCTTGAACACATCAGCTCAGGAATGTCAAAGCTCTTTTATTTGCCTTGTGGAGATAAAGGAGAAGATGGGCTAAATAACAGTATCTTCACCAAATTTAAAAATCATCAATTAGGGCTTCCCTGGTGGCGCAGTGGTTGAGAATCCACCTGCCGATGCAGAGGACACGGGTTCGTGCCCCGGTCCGGGAAGATCCCATATGCCGCGGAGCAGCTGGGCCCGTGAGCCATGGCCGCTGAGCCTGCGTGTCCAGAGCCTGTGCTCCACCACGGGAGAGGCCACAACAGTGAGAGACCTGCGTACTGCAAAAAAAAAAAAAAAAAAAAAAAAAAAAAAAAAAATCAATTAAAAATTTTATGCTCTCTGCCTACATGTAAGAAAGGCAGACTATTCATTTGTTTACAAAGGATTCATCAGCTGATTTCAAGTAGGACTACCTTTATTGCCCTAGCATTGTGCTGTGTCTAGCAAATCTAAAAATAAAATATTAACTCTTTAAGGATTAGAAATAGGTGAGTTGTATTTCAAATTTTTTCAGAGGCCCAGAATTTTAAATTAAATATTATCTTAGTATGTTTTCTTAATGAGTTGTTTCATGAATGAGATAAAGTATGTGATAGCATAGATAAACTATGTGAAAGCACAACATGGGACTTCCCTGGTGATCCAGTGGTTAAGACTCCACGCTTCCAATGCAGGGGCCATGGGTTCAATCCCTCGTCAGGGAACTAAGATCCCTCATGCTGTGGGGAGTGGCCAAAAAACTAAAAACAAATTTTTTTTTAATTTTTAAAAATTAAGAAAAATAAGCACAACATTCACTGAAGCCTGCTTTGTGCAAGTCACCATGCCAGAGAGAAAGAAGAACAAGACGTGTTCTGTACCTTAAAGGAACTTTTTAAGTCAGGTAAAACTCAATGGAAGATTAATATCTTCCTGTGCCAGGACACTACATATGAAGTGTTTGTGATTACCCAAAAATTCAGATTCCAAAGTGAGGGCCTGTAAATCATGGAGCAGATCAAAATAGGTCCCACATCTAACTATTAATTGCCCTCCTGCTTAATGAGATATCCCGAGAAAACATCAAAGGCATAACAAAAGGAATGGAAGCACCAAGCTGAACAGAGCTGACAACTCTACTTCTGTAGGAGAAACGCAGAACAATGGAGAATGTGATATTAGTGTCCTGCTCACAATACGAAGAGATCACCCAGGGCCAGGCTGGTTACGTGGCTTGTCCAGATTCACACCATTAGTGACAGCACAAGAGTTGGAATCCAGTTTTCCAGATTGCTAGTGCAATAATAGTCTTTCCATCTTACCATATCAAGAGGTGGAAGAACAGTCCTCCCTGGACAAAGCTAAATAGTAAATATTTTCTGCATTAAGACACAGGCTGGGCTTCCCTGGTGGTGCAGTGGTTGAGAGTCTGCCTGCTGATGCAGGGGACACGGATTCGTGCCCCGGTCCGGGAAGATCCCACATGCCGTGGAGCGGCTGGGCCCGTGAGCCATGGCCGCTGAGCCTGCGCGTCCGGAGCCTGTGCTCCGCAACGGGAGAGGCCACAACAGTGAGAGGCCCGCGTACCACAAAAAAAAAAACAAAAAACAAAAAAAAACACAAGCTGGCTCAAACCTTTTCTACTTTATGGAAGTATCTTTGGGAAAAAAGAGTTTCAGAAAGAGTATCCTCAATCTTTAATCCCTTCTACTTTCCTATGTTGACGGTTTGGTAAGGAAAATCTAAAGTAAAAATTACCTGGGAAACTGGTTCCCCTTATTTTACTAAGAGACTAGAAAACCCTAGGTCCTTGTCTTAGTCTGTTTGTGCTGCTATAACAAAATACCATAAACTGGGTGACTTATAAACAACATAAAATTATTTCTCGTAGTTCTAGAAGGTGGAAGTGCAAGATTAAGGCACCATCAGATTTGACGTCTGGTGAGGGCCCACTTCCTGGTTCATTGATGGCATCTTTTCACTGTGCCCTCTCATAGCAGAAGGGACAAGGGAACTTTCTTGGGCTACTTTTATAAGGGCACTAATCCTATTCATGAGGGCAGAGCCCACATGATCTAAGCACCTCCCAAAGTCCCCACCTCCTAATACCATCACCTTCGGGGTTGGATTTCAACATATAAATTTTGGAGAGGACACAGACATTCTACCACAGCAGTTGTATAGTACAGCATCTAGAAAAGGTGGAAGGAATCTCAGGCAGGGGTAAGAAAGTGAACCCAAGTGCCAAGACTGAAATATGACCAGTTTAGCTAAGATAAAGGCTAAGTTGGAAAGGTAGGTAAGTTCTAACTTGTGAAAGGTGTTTAAGAAAAATCTAATGAACATCTGCTCAGGCCAGAAGGGAGTACCAAGGACTGGATTTACTGCTCCTCTGGCCACCCACCATTTCCTGTATAAAGCAACTAAAAGAATTTTTTTAATAGAAAAGAAATAATGGTTTTCAAGAAAAAGGATATCAGGCAATAATCCCCGAGAGACAGGAAACAAAGGAAATGAGCCCTAAAACTGCTCTAACTTACGGCATGGAGAGAGTACCCAGAGTGTGGATCAGGGAGGGGAATGCAGGAAAGGCCTGGTGAGTTCCTGAGTTGAAGAGATGCAGCAGGGGTTGAGGAGGCTGTGGTAGGTAGAAGTCGCAGGGTAGAGGCCACATAGTAAGTATTTTTGGCTTTGTAGGGCTCTTAAAGTTTGTGTCATATATTAAAATTAAAAACGTGAAAACCATTCCTAACTCATAGACTATATATAAAAGGCCATGGGCTGATTATGCCAGGGTCTTAGTTTGATACCCCTGTTCTAGAGGGGGAAAACCACCATGTGAGATGAAAATTACACTGGATAGGATTAACAACAGAGTAAACATGCAGAAGGAAATATGAGTGAACTTTAAGACACAGCAATAAAAACTGTCCAAAATGAAACTCAAGAGAGGAAAAAGAAACTAAAGAAAAAATTATTTTAAAAATAATTGACGGGCTTCCCTGGTGGCGCAGCGGTTGAGAGTCCGCCTGCCGATGCAGGGGACATGGGTTCATGCCCCGGTCCAGGAAGATCCCACATGCCGCGGAGCGGCTGGGCCCGTGAGCCATGGCCGCTGAGCCTGCGCGTCCGGAGCCTGTGGTCCGCAACGGGAGAGGCCACAACAGTGAGAGGCCCGCGTACCGCAAAATAAATAAATAAATAAATAGACTATATAAAGCATAAATAAGTTGTAGGACTGCTCTACGTCAATTAATATATATGCAACTGTAGCTCCCAAAGGAAAGAAGGATAGAGAGGTATGCTTGAATAAATAAAGGCCAAAAGTATTCCAAAATATCATGAAAAATATAAACCCATAGATCCACGAACACAATAAACCTCAAGCATGAAAAATATGAAGAAAACCACACGAGGACACATCTGTTGTTTAAATTGCTTAAAACAAGGTATGAAGGAAAGATCTCAGACACAGAGAAAAAAGGGCACATTACACAGCTAGGAACAAAGATGAGTGTAACCACAGATTTCTTGTTGGAAAGAAGCAAGTGAGAAGATAGTGGAGCAGTGTCTTTAAAACACTGACAGAAAAAAATGTCAGTCTAGAATTCTGTACCCTGTGAAAATATCTTTAAAAAACAAAGGTGAACCTAAAAACAAAACAAAACAGAAAGGTGAGGTAAAGACATTTTCAGACATACAGAAGCAGAAAGTATTCATCACCAACACACCTGCACTATAAAGAATGTTAAAGGGAGAATCTCAGTCAAGAGGAAAATGATACCAGATGAAAATCTGAATCAATACAAAGACAAAAAGAGCACTAGGCATGATGACTCTGTGAGTAAATACAAAAGAGCTTCTCTATTTAAATTTATTTAAAAAATAATTGACTGTATACAGCAAAAATAATAACAATACATTGTGAGGTTTGTAACATGTAGAAGTAAAATGTGTGACAATAGCACAAAGGCTGGGAGGGGAGAATGAAATTATACTGTTGTAAAGTTTTTATACTACATATTAATAGTGTAATATCACTCGAAAGTAGATGGTAATAAGTTTTAAATGTATATGATAAACCTTAAAGTAACCTCTAAATACCAGAAGAGTGACAGCTAGTAATCCAACAAAGGAGGTACAATAGAATTATTTTTAAAAAATAATGCAAAAGAAGACAGAAAAAAGAAGACTGAGACAAAGAACAAATGGCACAATTGAAAACAAATACCAAGATGGTAGATTTAAACCTAACAGTATCAGTACTGACACAAAATGCAAATGATCTAAACACACTAATTGAAAGGCAGATTGGCAGTTTGGATAAAAAACAAAGACATATCTAAATGATACCTTCAAGAAACCCACT